ACCCTCCCCTCGCCTTTAGGCAGAAACTTCTCTCTAGCAAGACAATTTAAACCTCAATTATTTTTAAGTGGGATGATCAAAAACAAGGGAAAAAACAAAGTAACAAACACAGAACTCAAAAAAAAAACCAGCAACACATAATCAATATTTGATATTTGAAATAATACATTTGGATATTTGAAACCACTACATTTTGGACTAATGTTTTATGCAGCAGCAGATAACGAATATACTCCTGGACATCAGCAATTTGAGATTTTCTTTTTTTTTTTTTTTTTTTAGCACAGAAGATTAACATGCCCTACATCTTTGAAGTTAGACATATCATCTCTTTTGCTTTGAAAATGTGTGGAAATAATCCGTTTCATTTCTAGATGAAGGCCTCCAAGCTAATTTATACTCCCCAGTTTTCAGACTGTACAGCGAAGAATGATGGTTGATCCCTAAATTGAGACCTTCACATTCCTCACTCAGAACAATAGCTCTGAAAAGCTGCCACAGAATATTCTGCACGATGAGAAATAAACCCTTTGGCAAGAAGCCAATAAGATTTAGTTAGCACAACTTAACCTAGCCTATCTTTACAGGTACCAGGTTCCCCCAGGGAGGTAATACCACCCAGCAGGTAGTAGACAGTAGAAAAATTCAAGGCAAGGCAGTACTAGCCCCTAAAGCAATTACTGGGTGCTTTGTGTTTGCTTAGCACTGTAGCACTGTCCTCCCGTTGTTCATAGATTTGCTCCAGAGGGAACCAGTGTGTCTCCATTGTGAGACTTGTTACTGTTTTTGGCATATCGAATACACCACGGGCAGCTTGCCAGGCTCTGCAGTGCGGGCAGGATACTCTCGGTAGTTCGCCTGGCTCTCGGAGAGGGATGGAGAAATCAAACCCAGGTCAGCCGAGTGCAAGGCAAACGCCCTACCCGCTGTGCTATCACTCCAGCCCAAAGGAAGATAAATTGGTGTGTGTGTGGGGGGGAGCACCAAGTGATCTATTTCCTGAAAGGGGAGTAGTAGGCAAAATAAGTCTGGAACCCCTGACTGTGAAACAAAGAAAGCAGGAATGTAACTAGTGAACCACACTGAAAAGCGAGAAACAATTACTAAGAAAGTTATTATCTGCAGGTTTGGTGACCTAATAATTGACAAGTAGTTTTGAGACTCTTAAAAAAAAAAATTCCTGCCATCTGTAGGTCCAAATACTTGTAATGAAGAATCATCTGGGTTTTTTATATTTCAAAAGGGAAGAGGAGGAGGATATGGGGGGGGGGGGGGGCAGAGGGCAAGAGAGAGATGGAGGATAAATGATGACCTGATCATTCCTTCTCAGAATCAATAAAACTCTGTACATTTGTACAATGAAATATATCCTGCAATAAAAATAAACAGACAGTGGACATTGTCAATAGCATTTAATAAGTAAAAAAAAAAAAGCCCTTCGTATTTCTTACATACTAGGTCATATTGTAGGTAGCAATATAATGAGCAAAATGGAGGGAGGGGAATCTGTCCTCACGAGACTTACATTTAAAAGAAAGAGAAGAAAAAACTATATGTCATGGGGCTGGAGTAATAGCACAGCAGGTAGGGCGTTTGCCTTGCACACGGCTGACCCAGGTTCGATTCCCAGCATCCCATACGGTCCCGTGAGCACTGCCAGGAGTAATTCCTGAGTGCAGAGCCAGGAGTGACCCCTGAGCATCACCGGGTGTGACCCAAAAACCAAAAAAAAAAAAAAAACCTGTATGTCATAGCATTTTACTGGGAGTTGCGGGGCAAAGCGAAGGAAAAGAGAATGTTATTGCAATGTAAGAAAATGTGCTCTTTTAACTCTGATAAATAGGATAAACCTTCTGGGAAAGTGGTATTACCAAATAAAACGTGGCTGGAGAAAGAATACAGCAGGTGGGGTACTTGTCATTCGCGCCGCAGACCCTGGTTTGATCTGTGGCATCCTATATGGTCCCCAGCACTACCAGGCATAATTCCTTAAAGCAGAACCTGAGTTAACCCCCAAATTTTGCTTGAAAGTAAAACAAAGAGGGCCTGGGAAATGGGGCTAACCCACTCGTAATCATCAGCTTTACATGAAGGTGAACTGCCGAGCACTGAGCTACAAGTAACCCCGGAGCACCACCATGTGGCTCAAAACCCAAAAGTAAAATAAAGGGAAGCAAAGACAAGGTTTCATCTCACATAAATATTAAGCAAGTCTGTGAGAGACACGAGCCCGGCAAGCTACCGAGAGTATCTCGCCCGCACGGCAGAGCCTGGCAAGCTCCCCGCGACGTATTCGATATGCCAGACACAGTAACATAGAGCAATGTTTTAAAATAAAACAAAACTCATGCCAAGCAGGAAGAAGCATTTGGTCTCTGAGCACTGGTGTCTTCTCGGTCTTGCATATGGGGTGGTCTGCCTTATAAGTTTGTGCTGTAGTAATTTCGTACAGTATTTCTCAAATGGCATATCTGCTGCGTGTACTTACTTCTCTGCATATATCAGTGTTCAAATCACTAAAACTTTAGGTTAATAAGGACATGTGTGTGAATAAAACTATAGATACTATAATTTTCAAATCTCCAAAGTTTTTTTTTTTGTCATTTGAGAAAGAATATTCAAGTTAAACACAGAGTAAATGTGAATTGAAACCCTTAAAGGTTATATTTCCTAATTCTAGGCAGGCGAACATTTGTACCTTTCTGATTTAATTAAAAGCGGAATTTGTAAATCATTCAAAATCTTCAGAATTAAAGCAGACTATAAGCCCTTTTCTTCATTTTTAACTCCACAGGACATGGGTTTTTGGGGTTGTTTTTTCTTTTGTTTTGCTTTTCCACACTACAGGTGTTCGGCTCTCAGTCTGAAAAATGCAATATAGTATCTGCCAAGACGATTCTTCCTCCCTCTCACCCTTAGTTTCAAGTTTAATTTCCAAGACTGCCCCTGAACAACTGCACTGCACAAACACAAACCATTTGGTTATATAATATTGATTTCAATGTGAAAACATGACCATTATTTACCCGGTAAACTCCTGGGAGAGTATATCCATACATTACACAAGAGAAGTAAGACTTTTGCCAACCTCAATGATGCTACCAGGCCATGAACGAGTTCGCATGGTCAGTGAAACATGCAGGCAATGTTTTCAGTTGTTTTCCAGTGAGGAACGAAAGGACCAGGGTATTTGAGTTCTACTACAGCCTGCTGATTCAACAACCAAAAGTACTTAACTTTTTGAGCATATTTCAAAGGCAAGGATCACCTGCTTCAACAGGAAATGGAAGGAAAGATGAATACACTAATGATTGATGGCACTTTCAACCCAAGTGCAGGACAATGCAAACCAGTTAAAATGTTTGTAGATAAGTTCTTCAATTCCACCACACTCTCCCAAAGAGCACCCAAAGCACGTGCTGGGTGGGAACACAGGATCTGATCTCAGCTCAAAACCATGAAGAATTGGCTCTCTTCCACTGATGACCACACAGAAGATCATTTTGAATTACATATAATGAATTACATATAACATACAAAAGCATTCTAACGTTCTCTCTGCTTAAACCCATGGCGACTTTGTTTGGTTTTAAATTAAAAAAAAAAAAAAGAAAGAAAGAAAGGTTTAAGGATACTTTCTTGTACAACTTTGCACGTATATTCCGATTCCTAATTTCTGGTTTAACTGTTCAGTTAACCTCTGCGGTTTTCTGGGATTCGCTCCAAGACAACTAAAAAGCACTACTGAAATTAGCACCTCTGCTATGGAGCTTAATTTGAGGAGTTTTGAAGTGGCTTGAAACCATTTTTTTTAATGTTCTGCACACAACTTTATGCTAAAAAATAACAAACCCTTTCACCAGCAGTAATTGAAAGGTGTCATTTTTACTTCCCTCCACAATTTTCATTTACTCCAAGTGCATAACACTGAGAATAAGAACTTTGCTAAAGTCACGTGTTTTGTTGCAAATATTGGCTTATAATTAAACATAATTCTTTAAGGTAAAATGAGAAGTGACCAAAGGATTTACATATCAACCCTATATTTCTGAACTCTCTCAAATGTTTTCCTCTTTCATTTTTTTACTTGAAAACTCTAAAAAAAATAAGTTACGGATGCATAAAGCGAATGCTTTAGATCTATGCCTATGTTTTTATTTCATAAATTCTGAATTTTGCCATGTTTGTAACATGTTAATGAGTTTATGAGTTGTACATGTTTTGAATTTTTTTTTTAATCTCACTCACATGTGGCATACAAAGAAACACAGTAAGGGAAAAGACAATAGACAGAGATAACAAAACCTGCGTATAAAACTGAGACTGCTCAGGAAGGTGTGAAGTACTAACAATACGTCAGGGGGACAAATGTTGTCACTCTGTGACACTGTATTCCTAAATCTTAGCACTATTGTAAATCAAGGTACCTAAAATTTAAGAAATATTCAAAGACTTGAGTGTGTGTGTGTGCGCGCGCGCGCGCTCGCTTTTAAACTAGGAAGCATCATCTGTGCGATTTTTTTTTAAATCCTTCGAATCTTAATCTAATTTTCCAATTTGACAGATGAGGAAACTGAGACTCAGGTCAAGCTAACGGGAGCAAAACAGGTAACAAATGGCAAATCATCCCAAACTCAGGCATTCCGACTCCAAACCTGCGGCTTTAAGTGACCATTTATCATTTCCAAAACCTTACCCTCAAGGAACGGAACGGGAAGCCGGGACGCCCCGGGCAACCCCTCAAGACACAGACTCTGGGGTTAATAAGAGCTAGTCTCAACGTTTGCAAACACAAACCCTGGAAATAGCCTCCTCCGCCACCAGCAGTTTCTCCGACAGCCTGGTCATACCTCTGGGGTTCTGTCTCACCTTTTCCAAGCGCATCCACTCGGCGCGGCGGCTGGGAGCCCGGTTCTGTTTTGTACTTTCCGTGGGGAGAGAGGGAGAGAGGCGACAATTCCCCACCCAGCACCCCAACCCACCCCCGACCCGAGACTTACTTGTTCCCGCCGCAGTCCCTGCAGTTCCCGAAGTGGCACTGACACCTGGAAAAAGAAGTTAGCAGACCTTTCGGTGGGGGTGTCCGGGCAGGTGCGTGCCCCGGTTGGGCCGGCAGCTCCGGGGGGTCTCCGGAGCCCAATCGCGATCCGGGAGGGACCGGAGGGGGCGGTGGGAAGGACCTCGAGAGGGACCCCAGCAGGAGCTGCTCCGGCCCCTGCACTCCGGGGGGCTCCGCGCCGCGCCCCTCCAAGCGCCCCCAGCGCCCGGAGTTGCGCGGAGTGGGAAGAGTCGGGGTGGCCTGATGGGGGTTGGGGGTGTCCAGGGAGAAGGGAGACTGGGGTCCCACCTCGAGGACGGCCGCTGGCGGAGACGGGCACCTGCGTTGGAGGCGCGGGGTTGGCGACTCCCAAGTGCCCGCTGGCCGCGCCGGACAGCGTCTGCGGGAGGCTGGCGACGCGCGGAGGGAAGGGACCCCGGGGGGAGGGGCGGACCACCAGCTGCGAGCCCCTCCGCAAGCCCCGACTTCAGCCAATGATCGTCCAGGGAGACGCCCCCGCAGCCCCGCAGCCCCGAGCTGAGGGTCCCCCACTCCCCGCGCAGGCACCTCCCAGTCGTCCCGCCCACCTCTGCTGGCTCAGGGCTCAGCCGCAGCAGGTGTGCGAGATGCCCCACCGGAGAGGGCGATCGCGTGGGGGGCTGCGGGGGGTAAAGGGAAGAGAAGGGGGGCAAAGGGAAGAGAAACGCCACGCCCCCCCTAAAAAAATGCACAACGAAGTAGCCAAGGAGCGAGTTTCCAGTCTCCCTGGCCCCGAGTCCAGCTGCTCAGGAGGACCCGAGAGGCGAAGGGATCACTCAGAAATAGACTTTCTAAGAGAGAGAAAAAGAGAATACCTTGCCACAAAGGCGGGGTGGGGGGAGGGTGGGAGGGCTACTGGGATCACTGGTGGTGAAGAATGGGCACTGGCGGAGGGATGGGTACTTGATTGATGATTGTATAGGTGAAACCCAAGTACGAAAGTTTTTTTTATTTAAAAAAATTTTAATAGTGAGACATAATGAGGTACAGTTGCAGACTTACACATTTTTGTGCTTGGGTTTCAATTGTACAATGATAGTACGAAAGTTTTAAAGTCTACAACTGTACCTCATGGTGTTTCACTAATGGAAGGAAGGAAGGAAGGAAGGAAGGAAGGAAGGAAGGAAGGAAGGAAAGGAAGAAAGAAAGAAGAAAAAATAGGCTTTCCAAATTTGGGGACGTTTGATAAAGCAAAAAAGAACAAAACCGTTTGGGGAACAGTCTAGCCCCAGGTCGAGAGGTTACCCCCCCCACCCTCTCCTGCCCACAGCTGCTCCCGTGGGTTTGTTTTCCTGAATACTGTTCTTAAGAAAGTGGGCAGGCGAAGCACGCGGGAAGTATAGAGGTATACTGATGGGTAGATTTATGCTGCTCCTTCAAGGTAGCGTTGAGAAATCTCACTTCTCACAGTGATGGAGACTAGGGAGGAACCCAAGAGAAAGGAAGAAGGGAAAGGAGGGACAGTTCTGGATTGAGGGGAAGGAAAGGGTGATGTGTTTTTTCTTTTTTCCTCAGGAATAAGTACCTCCTGGCTCAGCACCAAGAGTTACTCCTGGTGGTGCTCAGAGGACTATATGGGATGCTGGGGATTGAACCCGGGTCAGCCAGGTGCAAGGCAAACGCCCTCCCCGCTGTACTATATCTCTCCAGCCCGGGGCAGGGGTGATTTTTAAGGTCTCTGCCTCATCACCACCTTGGGAAGAAGCAGGAAATAGTGGCCCAGACATGAGCGGGGCTGACTTGGGACCCTGGTCCAGGCCCTTTGTGAACCTTCAAACTCAGAAAGGATGAGAAAGAGGGTGGAGAGAGAGAGAGAGAGAGAGAGAGAGAGAGAGAGAGAGAGAGAGAGAGAGAGAGAGAGAGAGATTTTTTCTAAAGAGCATCAAGACCCCTAGAATAATTGTTAAAATGTGCACTGCGTGAGCTTTCTGGAGCAACCGTAGGTGGCCAGAATCTCCTTCAAACCTCAGAAACTAGAGAACCATTTCCAAAGGATGGAGACAGCACCCGAGTGGTGATAGTAACCTCCCCAAATTATTATGAAGGGAAACGACTGGAACAAACCTTCACGAGTTTACAGTCCCAGGATTAGCAGGCCAGGCCTGAAGCTGAAGACAGAATGTTGGGGGCTGGGCTGATAGGACAGGGAGGTTAGGCCGTTTGCCCTGCCCTACACCACATATGGGTCCCAGAATATTCCAAGGGGGCCACAGGTGAGACATCACATAAATTGGGGACTATGGCACAAACTAGTGGCCATTCCAGTAGAACAATGGGGGTCGAAGGAAAGAAATACAGCTGGAAGAGAGCCATGGTTGGTACAAGGCTGCCTTTATCATGTCTTTCTGCCCCATGCCTTTCCTTTCACTCGGTTCCTTGAATACAGCACCCCCACCCCCACCCCTGACCTGTTTGGACAAGGGAATGTTCACATGACTCCACATGGGTGCGAAGGGCACACACTGTTTTTCTTGGTTATTGTGTTTGAGTCATAATAAAGGTAAAGGTAAGGTAAAGGCCCTCCCGTTGTTCGTCGATTTGCTCGAGCGGGCCCAGTAACGTCTCCATCAGGAGACTTTGTTGTTACTGTGTTTGGCATATCGAATACGTCATGGGGAGCTTGCCAGGCTCTGCCGTGCAGGGAGTCATAATAGATAAATAATTATTAAAGGACAAAATCATCAAAGTTAGATGACCCCAAAGGGTTTCCAATGATTCTCTGAAGACTAGTATCAGGCAAACATAACAGAGTATGAGTTAGCAGGTTTGTTCAAAGAGCATAGTTAATATTTTTCATGACATTTTATTTTTTAGTTTTAGTTTCTTTGTTTTTTTTGGGGGGGGGGGTCACACCTGGGTATGCACAGAGGCCACTCCTGGCTCATGCACTCAGGAATTACTCCTGGTGGTGCTCGGGGGACCATATGGGATGCTGGGAATCGTACCCGGGTGGGATTCATGCAAGGCAAACGCCCTACCCGCTGTGCTATTGCTCCAGCCCCTTTCACAACATTTTAGAGAGGTAACTATCATTATTCTACAACAGCAAGGGAAAGAAAACTGAGTGAGGAACTTAAAAACTGAGGGGAAGGAACTCTGGTTCAAGTCTGTCAGTCTATCTGATTTAAGTCTGGACTGAGGCAATCAGATTTTATACCTTCAGCATGGCTATACCATCTCCAAAGCAGGAAAACTATTTTTCAGATTTCTTTTACGCTATACTTCTAAGATTTATATAGCAATTATGGGCTGGAGCGATAGCACAGCGAGTAAGGCGTTTGCCTTGCACGCAGCCGACCCAGGTTTGACCTGGGTTCGATTCCTCTGCCCCTCTCAGAGAGCCCGGCAAGCTACCCAGAGTTATCTCACCTGCACAGCAAAGCCTGGCAAACTCCCCGTGACATATTCGATATGTCAAAAACAGTAACAGCAAGTCTCACAATTCGTTGTGAGACGTTACTGGTGCCCGCTCGGGCAAATCAATGAACAACAGGAGGACAGTGCTACAGTGCTATTACATCATTCATAGCTATGATTTCATATAAAATACTTTCTAGAAAGCATTTATAACACTAATAACACTACAGAAAGTGTAAATGCTACTGTAATAAAATCATAATCAGGTAACAAAATATGTATTTTTGAGTCTTTTACTGTGACAGTCCATTTAGTCACAATGGACTGTCCCCAGAGGGAATTGTATCTGTGTAAAAAGGCATCGTATTGATTTCTTTTAAAGAAAGACACAGGGGAGATTTCATTATTATTTTTTTCAATCAAAGATTTCCCTCTAGGGATTTTTTTTTCCTCTCACGGAAGAAAGTACTGAATGAGTCGGAGTGTTAATCTGTTTTGCTCTAGTAAATCGTATCTTCTTAATAGGAGCTATATTTTGGTGTGGCCATAATTGCCAAGATGATTGGGAGTGATTTATTTTACTCCTCTATTTATTCAATGGCGATCAGGCTTCAGATACGGTAGCAGGCATTGTGCCCGCAGGGATGACATTCAAAGGTGTCCCTCATCTAGGATGTGAGCTCTGGAAGGGGCTCCTGACTCAGCCTGGTACCTAGCAGACATCAGATACTGGATCCCAGTATCCACAATTTGGAGCATAAGGATATGCGTGCATTTCTGAATTACTTTAACACAGCAGCTTCAGGAAAGCCACACTTTGCCTTTGCTTTGACCAGTGACTCAAACATAGATGGAAGGCTCGGGCCTCTGTACTTCTATTTCTGAGGCAGTTATTCCTCAGACTGTCCAGATTGGTGCTACCAATTTTAGTAATTTCACTATACACGAATTATACTTAGTGTCAATACAATTTTGAATAACGATAATGCGATGATACCCGGATACCAAAATACACAATGATCCTGTTCCCTGTTGAAGCTTACTGCTTTCAGGGCGATGAATGATGGTTCTTCACTGCATCTCTACAACCCTCACCCCCAGCCCCACTCCGCCCCCCATATCCTACCTCTTAGAGCCTGTGAGGACAAATTCACTTAGAAAAGCATCTTTTCAGGTGTTATTTTAAATCCTAGATGACTTGGATGGTTCCTAAATCCAATGACCAGTGTGTTTGTGTTTTTCAGATTGAGACGGGAAGCCACAAAGGAGGAGACAGGGAAAGGGGGGTGGGGATTGTAGAGGTAGAGTTTGCAAAGCATTGAAGCCCCTCCCCCTTCCTCCGCCCCCCTCCCTCTCCTTCCTCTCCGCCCCCCCTCCCGCCCCCAACGGAGACACCTGGACTTGGCAAGACAGTTTCCTTCCCCCTGGGGAGGAAACGTGGAAGGGTCCAATAACTTAGTTTTGGATTTCTGGTGTTAGGACGGAGAAAATAAAATTCTGTAATTTTTTTTCCCCTTTGGTCATTGGGCCACACCTGGTGTTGCTCCGGGCAGTGCTCAGGGCTTACTAACGGCTCTGAGCTCAGGGATCACTCCTGGTGCTGCTCCGGGC